CCATTACATACAAAACTGAACTATTTTAATATAGCTGAAACAGTAGTATAAGCTGTTTTGGGAGAAGGGGAAAAAAAGACGGGCTCGGGCCGGTAATTCTGATAAGCTGTCGGACACGGCCGGGCTAGGGCCTGAGCGTCTCGGGCCGCGGGTTGAGAACCACTGCTCTAAGCTAACGCCTACGTGCCTGTATTGAATATGATTACGCATCGCTCCAGTAGAGTTATTGTAAGACAATTTGACATTACACAGTTTACACAAAACTTTTCCGTTTCCTTCCAATTCAAAATAATCCAACACCTTCTCATCTTTCGCATGGTCGTTTTTGAACTCGCCGCAACTGACACGAAGAAAACGCATGTGAGGTCTGAGGTAAAAATGTAGTTTCCGCCCAGATACATTTTTAAAAAGAATGTATTATTTTTCAAACGTTTTATTTTAACTTGTTATTTAAAATGTTTTAAATGCAATGTTAAAATGACGGTAATTTGAATGATAAAATCATGTTTTTTTTTCTTTTTCTGTCATGTAATCGACTATTGTTTTCAGTGTCGACTAGTAGGAGCTGTACCGTTTAGTCGACTAGACCCACACATCCCTAGTGTAGATACATCTACAACAATAATTAACAGTCCAAATATGCTATAGGTCTGACATACAGTGTCACCCCCTAGTGTATAGATAAGACTGATGGAGACTTACTGATAACTAATACGACATCTAATATGACATCTGATGCAAATGCATAATTATAAAGACTATAATATTACAGATCAGTTCCACAGAGTTTAAAATAAAACAAATCACTCACTGGCTAAAATGATAAAAACATGTGTATGGTGTGTAAATGTGGATTATAACAGATCTGAAGGACAGTATGTTTGTACCTGGTTTCTGGCTGGTCATGTGTCGGCTGAGGGCGGCTCTTCCTGCAGCCTGGGGGGCAGGGATTGTGGTGGGCGTGATCTTTTCTGTGGGCGGAGCTCCATGCTTGACTGTTTTTGTGGCTAATGCTGTGCTATCTGCACTGTCCATGTTTATCCTTGGTGCTGCAACACATGCAAAAGACGTTGTAAAGACCATTAACAAGACCAGAATCATGTGTTGAGGTGCAGTTTGAACCTCACCGGGGCTGATGACAGGTATGGGGACGGTCTGGACTCTGCTGAACGGACTGGACTGCATACTGAAGCCCGGCTGTATGGAGGGTGTACGGACCACCGCGGGGTGTCTCGAGACGGAGGGCATCAGCACCGGGATGGGGGCCGGCTCGTCCTCTTCCTCTGCCACTGCCAGCAAGTCCTCTGGCTCCAGAGGCTGAGACAAAGACGAGCTGGAGCTCACCTCGTCCAGATCCTCATAGAACTGAGGAGACAGGAAGGCTGACCGTGACAGGTTGGCTGAGAAACGTAGAGAGACATATGAGACAGACATATGAGACAAACATAGGGGTGTCCGGCATGTATCGTGTACAATACAATATCTCACACAGGTTGTTTTTGCAGGAAAAATAAATAAATCAAAAATATCAAAAACGTCTTGATAGTCCACTCTTTCACTGCATGATGCAGATTTAGTAGTAGAATGCAGCTAGAATGGACAAAAAATGTAGTATATTGGAGCAAAAATGCCCGTTTAAATTTTTGTCTTGTCACATGAGCGAGTATCAGTACGATTGCAAATGTGATTTTATACAACAGTTAATATTGTGAGTTACATTTTAGACAGTATTGTCTGTTTTTACTCTATGAAAACAGTTCCAAACAAAGCCAAAACTGTCCAAGTAAACATCTCAGAGTAACACACAGAAGTGTTTCGTTCCTGAATTAATCAGTGTTTTTGATTCATTTGCTTTGATCCTGAATGAATCAGCCTTTTGAACAAAACGGTTGAATGAATGATTCACCGACTAACTCATTAAGACATTGAGGCATCTTTCATAAAAAAAAAAAAATCATATTTCAATATTGTTCAATATCAAAATATTTTGAAAACATTAATCTCATAGCATTATTTACGCAACTGTAATTTCAGTGTAAATATATCCAAGCACTGTCATAGATGTCACTTCTTCAGGGCAATTTAATTTGATTGGTAACATCGTATCGGGTCTTATTTTTCTAATTGAATTTACTGATTAAAGATAAGAGTTTGACAAAAGATGACGCAAACATCTAATAAGGTTAGAATAAAATGCCTTTAAAAAAAAAAAAAAACTGTAAATCAGTTTAAGATGGCAAATGTCACCCTTTAATGAAAAAATTTCTTGTACACGAGCCATGCACAGAATATGAATAATATGAAAAGCTTGTCCATGACATGCCTAAAGCAGCCAAGAACCAGAACCAAAACCCACACAGCAAAACACTGCCTTACAGCTATCGACAAAAATCACAAAAAATATTGAGATATCAATTATTTTTTATCAATGTAACACCTCTAGATGCACAATCACATCACAAGCACAAACAGTTGATGTACCTGGAGCTGTGGAGTGAACCGGTGGGGTCTGTCGCTTTGACAGGAAGTTCCTCAGCTGAGACTGTTTGGCTGGGGTCATTTTAGCTGCACACACACACACACACACACAATGACATCAGGGAGGTCAAACGAGAACAACATCTCACTGCAGCTCATCTGTGAGTAGGGGTGCTCCGATTAATCGGCTACCGATCGCTATCGGCCGATAATCGCTTTGGGATGTTTGATCGGCGGTCTCTATAAAGGCCAGTCTCAAAAAAACGATCTCAAGCTCATGACGCGCCTGCCGTGAGAGGTTTGGCATGACATGCAGCGGCACCGCCTCAGTCTGTCCGGCACGGGTGAAATAATTATAATGCTGAAAGTGAGGTACAATTCATATTTCTTCATTAAATAACTTATAAAGTAATTTTGAAAACTTTCTGTGAGCCATAATTTCACAAACAGCGCGAGTACATCGCCGCGCGTGCCCTCTCTCTCTCTCAAAATGCGCAAATGGCTTCAAATCACATCGCGTCTGCACTATAAGCCAGCCGCACTTGACACAGGAACTGTCACAATCGAGTCACTAAAGCTTATAAATTGCATTTCTTTTTAATTCTTGCCAGTGTTTAAACCATTTAGCGCTCGCGCGCTCTCCTGGAGACTGTGCGGTCATGCACACAAAAACAAAAAAAACTAAACAAAAATGCAGTGCATGATCAAACATTTAGGTGAGATAAATATACATTTTTGAAAAATGTCTAAAAAATGCTGCCCACCACCCCTCAAATTAAAAAATCCCCTCTCACAAGAGTCACCTAAGGGGAACTATTTTTCAAAAATGAAATTCAGGCCCTGAATAAATGTCTAAAAATCTTGATT